TTAGTAAACATTCTTTTAGTCATAAAATTCAGAGCTTTCAAAACACTTTGGCCTCACATGAAGTATTAGCAGTTATAGCATTGATAATAACATAATGATCCTTGTAACCATTAACGGTTTATTTGGTGCCAGGCACAGTCTCCTAAAGAGCTTTTTGGTCTTAAATAATCCTCACAACAACCCAAGAGGTAGGAAGGCGCTTCACAAATGAGGAGAGTATGGCCTTCCTTGCACACCTGGCCCACGCTCACTTCTTCCTCAGGAGACCTCTGGATTACTCAGCATTGTCCAGTGCCTTTAATCACAAGCCAGTCTTAGAAATATGCTCCAGCTCATGCATTCAGTAAATATTTATTGAGTGCTAGGTAATGTGAGTGAACTGGGAATACACATCCACTTTAAGGAAAACCAAAAAGCCAAAAAACTAAGCATTCTGCTTCTTTAGATGCTCATACAGTTAGCAAATAGCAACCATTTCCTGTCTGAAATGACTGAAGGAGCTTTACCTTTTTATTCCTCTCTACCTGTGAATCTAACTTGTGAACTTATCACTTCTGTCTACTCTGTAATATGCCACTATTTGGGATGTTCTCTGCCAGCTTCCATTTCTAACTCTACTCTGGGCCAAAAATTAATTCCTGGATTTCATTGAGAAGGTTGAAATAGAGTTGTCTCATGTATCATTGTAGGTGTAATGTCAATGCTCAAGAGATCAAATGTTATTTCACAAATATCTACAAAGGCTGCTTTTTCCTGTGTTAGAATAGGCATACTCTGGTAGTCAGGTTTTCCATGCAGGGTAGGTTCCACTGTTTGCTTGCATTTGAAATTCTATATTCATAAAAATATCTCCAATAATCGAGCAGTCATACCTATTGTGGGAGAGTCAGAACGGATGTATGAAATATGGAAAAAAAATCCCCAAATATACTTTCAATCCATAATGTCATGTATTTCGTTAAAAATTAGAGCTGCCAAGTGGTGACAAAATTGTCTCATTTATGTTTTGCCTCTTCTCCTTCCCCTTGTGATCTCATTAAGGCGCCTGCCTCACACATCGTGTGGCTCATAGTAGGTCCAGGACATGATACTTCTCTCCCCGCTCACAGAACGGTTGATAAGGCTATGAAATAGCAATGGGGCACATAGCTGGGTGGGGCTCATGGGTTCTTAGATCCCAAATAAGCAAGTGTTGATTTTAACTATCAATATTCAATATATTTTTAGGTCCAAAAACATTAATATATTTGTCTTCACTACAATGTTGTGAAATTAAAATGACAGTACTTCATAAAATAAGTTTATGGGCTTGTAAATTGTGCCTATTATCTGAACTATTTGACTCACTTTTGGTCACTATGTTCAGTAAATACCAAAAAATCTGTTTTGCATAATCACATGCTAATTGAATAAAGTAAAATATTGTTAAAATATATGGTCAAGAAAATATAATTACTATAAACTCACAAAATTTAAAACGTAATACTCTCTTCTGGTTATGAATATTTCACACATTCTTTTATTTAGAAGATTCTTGGATTTAGAAGATTAAAAAAGCAAAACAAGTTAAAAGTTAAAGAGAAATACTTAATGTTTTTTACGAATTAGAATGTTTTTACACTAGACATTTCTAAATGGTAATAATTATGTCAAATTTCTTGAAACATTTGAGGCATACGATCTTCCTGTTCCAATGTAAATGTAATTTTTATATTGGAATGTCTGTTTGGTAAAAACATTTACTTAATCATCACAAAAGATATTTCTGTACTAGAAAACATTCTCTAAGTGGGACCTCAGCTTTTGTGATAACAAACACTTTTGCTCTGCAAATGAATTAAAAATCATCTACTTAACATTTGCTTAAACAGCCAAGATTAAAATAATCTTAAATCTTTACATTTTAAATTAAAGCCAAATCAAGGAAAAATCAGAACTTTATATTTACATTAAATTTTACTATTTTTGAAAATTGTATACACTTTTATTGTGACCAGCAGCCCCAGTCTTTATCACTTTTTTTCTGAATCAAATTAGCAATGACATTATCTTTAATGAATACATCTTGCTTTTCTTTTATTTACCAATGTGCTTTGAAGTTATTTTAGTTAACAAAACTACCATTTCAAGTAATGTCCATTTTTTCCGACTCGATGTAATAGGAAATAGTAAAACGAGACTTCATTTAGAATTTAAAAATTCCCTTGGGGTATAATTATTGCCTCTGAGGACTGGCACCAGGTTGCACACCATAGACCACAATATGAATACAAATGGTGGCCCTTGGAATTATGCAGTGCTTATCCTGCATCACTATACATGACAGTCCTAACAGACACACGGGAGGCCAGCTCCAGGGGAGACTTAAAGTCTGTGAGCATCACTCAACAAATATTTTGCAGCATCAAAGGAGTACAAATCCATTCATATTGTGCTCATTGTTCTGACACAGAAAAACAAACATGACACGTTTTCTGTGGAAGCCTTATTTGGAAACAGCTCCTGTAAGCTTGCCATGGCTTAGATTTATTATGAATGAGCATAGTATAGTTCTGACATGCAAAATTGTTTGGAATACCATTAACGAGTTCCAGGTCCCACTGATTCAAGGCTTTGTGTTCTTTCACACAACAGTAACTGATTCGGGAATGATGAGAAATGAAGTATTATGTTTTTTAACAGTTAACAAGAAGGAACAGAAAATTATTAGATGCTGAAATGGTATGCCCTCAATGGACAGTATCAGTGTTACACATCTGGAAGACTAATGATATAGCTTTTATTATTAAAATAGCTCTGTAATATGAATGCGGATAAATGCTGTATACTAATAGTTGCCAAAATTTATTGTATATAACTGTTGCTTGGGAAGCCAGTTAACATGCAGTTTCTGGGCCACACTCCCAGAGATTCTGATTTAGAAGCATGCAAAGGGGCTAGAATTTGCATTTTAATAAGTGCTCCCAAATTCCTAATGTCAGCAGTCTTGCTCTCCCATTTTGAAAAACACTGCCATAAACTGTATATACTGGTGGCTTGCAGCCCTGGCATCTCTGAGAAGTTTTAGAAAAATACAGATACTTCTCCATAGATTTATTACATGGGGTGAAGTCCAGACATGCCTAGATTTTAAAAGTTCCACAAGGTGATTCTGATTTGCAGCTAGGCTGAGAAACACTGGTAAATAGAATTAACTTCCATTTCCTGTTTATTATTATATGCTTTTAATAGAAGACCTATTTAACTTGAGAGAAATAGTAAAATTTCTTTCAACATTTAGATCTTGAAACTAATAAATAATATATAACATCCATTTCCATTAAAGTGTCTTAAAAATATTTCATGATCTTGATCCCCTCCCCCAACACATCCTCTCCCATTTTTCTTCAGTAAATGGCCACACCATCTATCCAGTTGAAGAGACTCTCTAGGTAGTGATTATGAGCCTGGGTTTGGAAGTGAACAGTCCTTGATCAAAGCCCCACTTCTGCTATTTCCTACATGCAACACTGGACATGTTACCCAGCATTTATAAAATGGTAAATACCTCATAGATTATTGTGAGAATTAAGTGAGATGATTTACGTAAAGTGCTTAATGCAATCCCTGGGCAGTGATGAGCCTTTTTAAAAAGTTAGCTATTATTATCTTTCTTAACTCCCTGTTCTTCCCATAGGTAGGGATCATTTTCTCACTCTTCCATGTGTTAATTAGCTCTAGTATTCTCCAGTTGGGTTCATTCTTGTTGCCACTACCCTAGTCCAGTTACCTCTTCCCTGGATTACCACAGTTAGCTGAGTTCCTTATTTTCAGGCTTGCTCCTTCCTGCTGCAGCCAGAGACATCTAACACACCAACTCCTACTCAACTCCTTCAACGGCTGACTTCTGCCCTTGAGATAAAGTCTGAACTTCCTAACATGACTTACAAGATCTTCCTCGTTCTAGTTCCTGCCCAAGTCTCCAGTCTTATCTCTTGCTACACATCTGCTTCACACTTAATTTCCCACAATATTGAACATTTTTCATTCCTGGAATATTCAGACTTTCTTTTGCTTCTGGGTCTATGTACATATATTCCTTCTGCCTAAAACACGTATCCATCTCTCCTCATCATCTTTACCTTCCTCTGGAAGGTCATCCTTTCCTTTGACTATGCTTGAACACTTTTCTACAAACCTGTCCCCTTCATTTATTGTTATTAGTGCAGTTGAGTCCATTTTGACTCCTAGTGACCCTGTGTACAGCTGAGTGAAACCCTGCCCAGTTTTTTGGACCATCGTCTCACCTTCCTGGTGCTGTATCAGACAATGCTCTATTGTCTGCTATTCATAGGGTTATCATGGCCAACTTTTTGGAAGTGGGTGGCCAGGTCCTTCTTCCTAGCTCCATTGAAGCCTGTCCACCATGGGTGACCCTGCTGGTATTTGAAATACCGGTGGCATAGCTTTCAGCATCACAGCAACATGCAGCAATCACAGTATGACAACCAACAGACTGGTGGTGTGGCTCCCTGACTGGGAAATGAACCCAGGCCATGATGGTGACAGTGCTGAATCTTACTCACTAGACCACCAGGGCAGTTCGCCCCCCTCATAAAACATATCGTATTTTATTGTGATTATTTAGTTGAGTGTTTTTCATGCTGGAATAAGGGGGTCTGGATGGTCCTCACATGCATTATTTGACTGGGAATCCTGTAATATTTTTTAAAATTTGATGACAATCTGTAAAAATAAAATAAGCATATTCTGGAATAGCTGGATATGACTATGCATTTTAGTGTCCTATTTTCAATTTTTTTATTGTAACATACACATACCATAAAATTTGCCATCTTAGCCATTTTTAAGTGTACAGTTCAGTGGTATCATGTATATTCCTAGCGATGTGCAACCATTACCACCATTCATCCCCAGAACTCTTTTCATCTTGCAAAACTGAACATCTATATCCATTAAACAATAACTCTCCATTCCCTCCTCCCTCTAGCCTCTGGTAGCCACTATTCTACTTTCTGTATCTATAATTTTCACTACTCCATGTACCTCATATAAGAAGAATCATACAGTATTTGTCTTTTTGTGACCGGCTTATTTCACTTAGCATAATGTCTTCAAAGTTCATCCACGTTATGTCATATTTCCTTCCTTTGTCAGAATTTCCTTCCTTTTTAATAATAATAATATTCCATTGTAGGTATATACAACATTTTGCTTATCTATTCATCAGTCAATGGACATTTGAGTTGCTTCCACCTTTTAACTATTGTAAAAAATGCTGCTAAGAACATGAGTGTACAAATATCTCTTTGAGACTCTGCTTTCAATCCTTTTGGGTATATACTCAGAAGTGGAATTGCTGGATCATACGGTAATTCTATTTTTAATTTTTTTAGGAACTGTCATATTGTCTTCTATAGCAACTGTACCGTTTTAATTTCCATCAACAGTGCACAAGGGTTCCAATTTCTCCACATCGTTGCCAACATCTTTTATTTTGTTTTTTGATTGTAGCCATCCTAATGGGTGTGAGGTGGTATTTCACTGCAGTTTTAATTTGCATTTCCCTAATGATTAATGATGTTGAGCATCTTTCATGTGTTTATTGGCCATTTGTATTTGTTCTTTGAAGAATGTTTAGTTAAGTCTTTTGGTGATTTTTGAATCCAGTTGTTCGTTTTTTGTTGTTGAATTTTAGGAATTCTGTATATATTCTGGACATTGATCTTTTATCATATATGATTTGCAAATATTTTCTCTCATTCTGTAGGTTGCTTTTTTATTCTGTTGATAGAGTCTTTTGATGAACAAAATTTTTTAATCTTATGAAGTCCAGTTTGTCTATTTTTTCTTTTTTGCCTGTGTCTTGAGTGTCATATCCAAAAATCATTGCCAAATCTTATATATGAAGCTTTTGTCCTATGTTTTCTTCTGAGAGTTTTAAAGTTTCAGATCTTAAGTTTAGGTCTTGAATCCATTTTGAGTTAATTTTTGTATATGGTAGGTAAGGGTCTAATTTCATTCTTGTGCATGTAGATATCCAGTTTCACCAGTACCAGTCATTGAAAAGACTCTCCTTTCCCCATTGAATGGTCTTGGCATCCTATTTGAAAATCATTGACCATATATGAGGGTTTATTTCTGGGCTCTCTGTTCTATTCCACTGGTCTATATGTCTGTCTTTGTTCCACACTGCTTTGCTTATTATAGCTTTGTAATAAGTGTTGAAGTCAGGGAGTCCTCCAACTTTGTTCCTCTTTTTCAAGATTGTTTTGTCTATTTGGGGTCCCTTGAGAGTCTCTGTAAATTTTAGGATTAATTTTTCTATATATTGAAAAAATGTCATTGGGGTATTAACAGGGATTGCATAAAATCTGTAGATCACTTTTGGTAGTATGAACATTTTAATAATATTAAGTCTTCTAATCCATGAACATGGAATATCTTTCCATTTTTTTATGTCTTCTTTAATTTCTTTTAGCAATGTTTTATAGTTTTCAGTGTACAAATTTTTTACCTCCTTGATTAAGTTAATTCCTGAGTATTTTATTCTTTGTGATGCTGTGGTAAATAGAATTGTTTTCGCAACTTCCTTTTCAGATTGTTCATTATTAGTGTATAGAAATGCAATTATTTTTGTGAGTTGACTTTGTATCCTGATACTTGGCTGAATTTGTTTATTAGTTCTAAGAGTTTTTTGTGGAATCTTTAGGGTTTTCTATATATAAGATCATATCATCTGTGAAAAGAGATAATTTTATTTCTTCCTTTCTAATTTGGGTGCCTTTTACTTCTTTTTCTTACCTAATTCTTTTGGGTAAGACTTCCAGTACTATGCTGAATAGAAGTGATGAGAGTGGGCACCCTCACCTTGTTTCTGATATTAGAGGAAAAGCTTTCAGTCCTTCACCATTGAGTGTGATGCCCACTGTGGGATTTTCATAAATGGCTTTTATCATGTTCAAGCAGTTTCCCTCTATTCTTAGCTTGTTGAGTGTTCTTATCATGAAAGAATGTTGAATTTTGTCAAACGCTTTTTCTGCATCAATCGAGATGATCATGTGGTTTTTTTCCCTCCATTCTGTTAATGTGGTGTAGTATATGGATTGATTTTCATATGTTGAACCATCCTTGCATTCAGGAATACATCTCACTTGGTCAAGATGTATAATCCTTTTAATTCAGTTCGACAAAGTTTTGTAAAGATCGCAGCATTGATGTCCATATATACCTTTACTGAGATCTTTATTTCTTCACATGGCTTCAAATTACTGTTTAGTGTACTTTCATTTCAACTTGCAGGATTTCTTGCAGGGCAGGTCTAGTGGTAATGAACTCCCTCAGCTTTGTTATCTGGGAACATCTTAATTTTGCATTAGTGTTTTTAATGTGGCTCAAAATGAATATCAAATGAATCATGATATGATGTATCAACGAAAGCTTCATGAGAATGAAAATAAGAGATTTTCTTCCTGACATTTTATTATGAAAATTTACAAATGCAGAAAAGTTGAAAGAATTATACAGTGAACCCTCATACACTTGGTGCCTAGATTTTATAATTCACATTTTTGCAAGAGACTTTATTCAAATATTAGTTATGTAACTTCTTAGCTGAGTAACCTTGGGAAAGTTACTTAATCTCTTTGAACCTCAGTTTCCTTAACTAGAAAAGGGGGATAATGATAGTACTTACTTTATGCACTGCTGAAAGCTTAAATGATATAATCTATGCAGAGTACTTAACCCATTACCAGGCACAAGGTAAATATATACACTCAGTGTAAGCTATAGTAATTAGTATTTTTTGAATAAATGAATGAAAGAAGACATAATAAAATTTCTGAATCTTCTAAAGGAACTTTAATATCTATATTTCAGCTGTTGGATGTAGAACAGTGGTGTCTCTACTTAAGTGTAAGCCTTATGAAGAATATAAACACAGAAATTTTTTCTTAATAGCTGAACCAATGTACCTATATAAGAACTGTACCAGCCCAGTTATATACTATTTAAATTGTTCTGGTTACATGCAATGAAAGAAGGTCTCCAGTATATCCCTTGGATTTCTTTCATAAAAACAATAAAAAGACAATATGGGAGAAATGTTATAGTTTCTGATTTACTAATATATAGCAGTGACTACTGGCTATACTGAGTTTCAATTGTCTGCTGGAGCAAAGAGGAGAGGTATGAGGCAGGTGAAGGGCCAAACCAGGGTGAAGCAGGAAATAGAAGGACCTTGGAACAATCTTGCCAACACAAACTAAGACTAAGCCTCTTGCTCTCTCCAGGTTCCATTTCTGTCCCTGAGGAGTCCAAGGGCTTGTGTTTAGGGTGAGGGCAAGGAAGGAGGTGCTAAGTAGGTCCAGGTGGAATTCTTTAAGGCAAACTGGCTTTTCTCCAGCTTCAGATCTCACTCACATTCTTTCTACAGCTGCATTGCTGCTTAAACCACAGCTGGTGTGTTCTCTCCTGTCCAAGAATGGTTTGGACTATTCCTAAGACTTGATGTAAGTGATTTTAAAGACCATCAGAAAGACGCATTTTGCTAATGAGAAAAAAATGAGACAAAAAAGATTTTGATATACTAGAATCTCTAAACAATTTAGAGACAGTATTCAATTTTTTACTCATTTTTCTTACGGAAGGTTGCTGTTTCATTGACAAATTCAGAAAGAAGACATGCACAAGATAGGCTGCACAATATTCTAGGAAGAGCACATTTTATTAGAGGTTTGAAATCTAGTTTCTGTGTTAACTCTGTTTCTACCTGAGGTGGCCCTTAGTTTTATTATCTCACATCTTTGGGTTCAACTTTTTTCTATTCTTATGCCCTGTCATAGATCTTATCCAGTTAAAAAATACTACAGTAAAAGTGAACTGAATCTTAGGTTTTTGGAGCAGTTATAAAAATCAGGTTTCCTTTATTTCTCCTGTCATGAATAAGCATTTGTCAAAAAACACTGAGTGTACTGAATATTTAAAATACCAAGAAGTCTCCTTAAAGATGTTAATTATTGTATTTGAATGTGTTTGAAATAAGTTACTTTCATAACATGGTGAATGTTATTATATATATTCCTATTGATCCATTACCAACTTAAATCATATTTTCTGAATTATTTAGAAAAATATTTCACACTTGAATTCATGGAAGAAAAAAAGACCTTTGTTGTCAATTCCAAGAAACCCAGTTCTGAAAAGTTCTCAAATGTTAGTGAAGCCTTTTCAGGTTACTTGAATGCACCTGCTTGATCAGACCTTCAACAAAGTATTTTCATTGGCAAATATGTAATTTATGAATAAATAAGAAGTTGGATCCTGAGAGACTGGACTAATAAGCTCCATGCCTTAAAGTCTTTGTGCAAAGGCTTGCATGCAGTCTCTACCAAACTTTTGCAAAATTAATTTCAGCAAGTCCAAGGATACAAGGGGATGACTGCATACAGAGGTCTTTTCACACATTGCTCCCCACAGTCAGCGGTTCTTTTCTATTAGCTCTCTTGGCAGACCAGCAGGCCCTCAGGAGGGTCTTTGGTAAACTTGTTTCAGGCGCGCAAGTGCGTGTGTGTGTGTATATGTGTGCATGTGTGTACTCAGCCAGTGGATGGCTACCCATCCACCCCCAGTCAAAATGTTTCCCCTTGGATGAACAATCCTGCACTGTGAGTGTTCTGCAGGTGTCTCTGGGTGTCAGCTGGCCTCTGTTTATTATTGGTGTGCTGTGTACAGGGAGGCCAAGCGGGCCATCAGTAACAACTCTCTGCAAATGGGTCAAGGAAATGCAAATAAAGCCTGTGCAGCAGGAACTTTTAGGGTCTGGGGTTTTGCTGGCAAACTCTGCCCGAGTTCCTCTTTAGGTGCTACTTTAAAATTGCTCCTTGTTTGACTTGGACGAGACTTCACGTGGCGAGGCCGTGTGAGATACGTGAGGGGGGGACTAGCTGGAAGCAGGTGTGCTGTTTTTTCATCTTAGCTTTTACCAGAAGAACACATCCTCTGCTTGGTTCTGAGGCATTTCTCTTCTTCAGAAGTTTGTTTGTATAATTTGTTTTCCAAAAATGAAGGGGGAGGTACCTGTTAAAAAAGTTAGATCATCCGCATGATTTTGAACTATTT